AATGGCTTCGTAATTTTATTGAGGATGTTCCTAATTGGCCAAGACCGGTCCCAGCCGTATGCATACATTGTGATAGCCAAGCAGCTATTGGAAGGGCCAAGAACGTCATGTATAACGGTAAGTCTAGACACATACGTCGTAGACATGATACCGTAAGACAACTACTCTCGAATGGAATCATTTCAATTGACTATGTTAAGTCTAAGGAGAATATAGCGGATCCGTTAACCAAAGGGATTCCTAGAGAGTTGGTCGAAAATTTGTCGAAAGGAATGGGTTTAAGGCCTATCAATTGTTGAGCATTGCGGTAACTCTACCTAGAAGAGTGGAGATCCCATGAACTAGGTTCAAAGAGACAACTAAGTGATGGTCGACTGTTCAAACACTGTGGAGTTTTTAAACTCATACTCATTCCTAAGACAAGGCAGTGTATTTATGAGGGTAAGCACTTAGGCTTTTAATGATTTCTTAATCTGTTGTGTTCAGATGATGTATAGTGAGTTACATCACAAGAAATCACCTATGTGAGTGTGAAGTGAGGGCCGCTTCTATGAGAATTTTACAAAGGCCGATTCTCTAAAACACTCGCAGAACCAGGCAAGTGTCCCACGGTCAAAATGGGCGCAACAAAGGACCAACAATGCTAGAGAAGCAATTGTGTGACTCCTATTGTCTAGGTATACACTAAAGGTTGACGGTTCAAGTCGACCTAGACCACCGATTGACCGAGTATATCCGATAGGTTTTCACTAGAGAAGGTTCAAAGGTAACTCCACCTGTCTCGATGCAGTTGTTTCTCGTTGAGGAAATTACACTTTGCATTTATACTCTTGTGCATTTTTTGTCACGATGATTTGACTTCTTATCCATGTGGGGGATTGTTGGAATTTATATATATATATATATATATATATATATATATATATATATATATATATATATATATATATATACATATTGTATAGACAATCTATTGGTTATGAATAAGAAGTTTGGTAGTGAAAAGGTGTGCCTTTTCGTCGACAAACAGATGTATCTTTTCATCCTAACCGACATGTTGTTTCATCCTAACGGACATGTTGTTTCATCCTAACAGACATGTTGTTTCATCCTAACAGACATGTTGTTTCATCCTTGAATGAGTGTCTTTTCGTGTTGAACGAATGTGTCTTTTCGTGTCCAACAGATGTGTTGTTTCGTCGTCGAATAGGTGGCTTTTGGAACGTGACTTTACGTTGTCTATAAATAGACACTGACACCTTCAGAAAATGGATCCAATTTTTCTGCACTGAAACTCTGCCGGAATTTTTCTCCTTCCGGTTTTGCATGTTCCTTTCATACTCCGGTGTAGTTTCCTCTGGCATTTTGTTGTGTTCGTTTGGGCTGTTGACTGGTAGTGCCGCCACTCTTCAGACGAAATCCGTTCTATCCTGGGAGACAAGTGTCCATCTACCTTAGGCATCAGTGAAGGGGCAAGTTGTCTTAAGGAGACACGTTCTGTGGGCTCGGATTTTATCCTTCTGATTTTGCATATCTGATTCATCATTCTGTCTTTCTCTAATACTTGACAAGTAAGTCTGTTTTTTTTTAATTGTTTATAATTGCACAGTGATAATTCTGATCATCTACCTCCTCCTCTGCTTTATACATGGGTTCAAACCTCTTAGTGATTTAACATCACCCACTGTCTTTAATAACAGGTGTCACTTTGATATATTACAAGTGGTCAGTTTCTTCTTTTTACGTAGTCCTCTTGATTATGAAAAATAAAATAAAAAAAAGAATGAATTAAATACCACCCCACCATGGTCGAATCGATCCCAACTAGTGGGTGTAAGGCATTACTTATCCTCTACCCAAGAGATAAATATCTGCTTATAAAATTAAAATTAAAATGCGAACTGCATGTATAGTTGTGCTGACGATTATAAGATAGGTGCAATAACAATGACGAGGGATGGTAGTAGCTATGGGGCAGAGATGCCAATTAACGATAAGAGTGATAGTGATAGAATGAACAAGCATTTTTTGTTTTTCATAAGATGGTTAAGACTTTTCATTTGAAACAAATTAATAATCATCTCTCATTTGATACGATGCGCAATAGTGGCTATTCTCTTTTATAGTAGATATACCAAAATATTGTTACTCATTTTCATTTCCATAACTTCTATTCTGACTAAGCATAACTTAAAATAATGTTTGTTACTATATATATAATTTGATTAAGAAATTAGTCTCTCTTTTCACCATTAGTAGTTATAATTAAAGGATACTTATGATCAAATATCAATATTAGGGTTGATGTTGGGATAGCATGTCAGTCTATATTAATTTGTAAACCAATATGTGGCTTTATAGATAGTGGGACTATTGCTTTAACCAACAGCTGAGGTAAGGACGGATAGGAGAATCCAACCCATGAAGGGGAAAAAAAGGGCAATATCCTTGAGGAACAACAAAAAGGCGTTTGTGCATTGTTTGAATAGATAATTGTCTGGACCATTTTCACTTGGAAAAAGAAAACCATATCTTACCCCTTTTGTTCCGATTAAACAAATAAAAAATCTTGAAAAAATGTGTGTCATTTTAAATGGTATAAGTTGTGTCATTTCATAGATACAAACACAGAGGTGTGAGTCCCACTGAAAAAAATAAAAATGTGAATCCTACTTCTTTTGTGTCTATGAAATATACAACTTATATCATTTAAAATGACACACACTTTTTTCAAAAATCAAATCTCACCAAGGAATTTGAGCTTTAGAAAAACAAAAATTATCGAATCAGAAAATAATATTAAGTTTTGTTCGATTCTGAGTTGGATTCGAGATTTTTCTCAAAAAAATCAAAATAATAAATTGCTCGGAACAAAAAACTCACTTTTTTAAAAGTTAATGGTTGGTTGACATCTTAGGTATAAAATTTAGGGGGAAATATGTGTTATTTTAAACGACACATATTATATTCTTTCACTCTGATAAAGAGATGAGATTCACATCTTTAAAAAAAAATTTCACTCGTTCTCTCTCTCATGATTTATCTCTTTCTCTCACTTAAAATGACATAACTTTGTGTCATGATACACACTTTCTCCTCAAATTTAAGGCGAAATCGGCTCTCTTGCAAGAAACTTTGGTTTTTCTGCCAATTTTGTTTTTTAAAAAATTTGTTTTAAAAACAAAAAAATATATAAAAATTAATGTGAGGATAACATGAGATTATTTTCTCTAGCTTCTTCTTTAAAATCATCTCCCAAAATCTAATATGCTAACATTTGTTTTTAAATTAGACCGAAAATTTAGGATCTGTTTGGATGAACATTTTTTTAGTCAAAAACAATTTTTTTTAGAAAAAAACACTTCTACTATAAAGTTTATTTGAATGTTTACTTTAAAAAAAAAATAAAAGTTATAAAAAAATTCAAAAAAAAAAAATTGGAATCTAAATTTTTTAACTTAAAAAAATAGAAGTCAAAAATCAAATATTTTTTTAAAAATTAAATAGTTTTAACTTTGGTTTTAATGTTTCTAAAGTGAATGTAGATAAGTTATCTACATTCATTCCCAAAATGATGTCGTTTTGGGTTGAAAAATTAAAAAAATTTATAATGAAAAAAATGATTATAACCCTGAAAAAAATTATAATTACAAAAATACTTTAATTTCTGTTTCAAAACGACGTCGTTTTGGACTCACTATAGATAAGTTCTATGAAGCACCGATACTTCAAAAATCCTAGCGTGTCGTGTCCGACACTTCCCGACACTCCAACACGCGTTATAGAAAATTCAAAATAAGATTTAAAGGTTGCGTTGCGTTGAGTTTTTAGTTTCAACTATTAAATTCGTTGGATTACGATTACTATTTTATTGAGTTTAATATAAATATTTGGGATATCTTATGTTTCTTTGCAAAATTTATGAATATTATAAGTTTATATTTATCTTTTGTTAAATTATTGAATATTAAATATAATACACACTACATAAATTAAAAATATTATTTAATATCAAAACGTGTCCTAACGTGTCAAAATTTAATATTTTTTAAAATTAACGAGTCGGAGTATCGTGTCTTGTGCCCCGTGTCAAAATCGATGCTACATAAGATAAGTTATTTACATTAACTATAGAAAAAGCGAACCTTTTAACTTTTGTAAAACGCACTACTAAAATAAGCAAGAGATAAATTTTTTTTTTTTTTAAGAAATCCATCCTCTCGGTATAAATAAAAAGGATCTCGAATTAAAAAAGAAAAAACGAAGCGATGATGGCACACATGTGGCATCTCGTACGGAAATAACGACAAATGGTGTGATTTGAAAGACATGGAATTCCATGTTGCTGTGCAGCTGTACGGATGAAATATGATTGGAAAAGAAGCCCTTTTCATGGAATCTTTTGAGAGGTGTCCACAATTTTTCTTTTTTAAAAAGTCTAACCGTAGAAATTTTCCGTAAGCAGAAAATGCGATTGCATTAGAAATCTCGAATAATCCGTATGCTTCTTGCTTAGCAAAGTCAGAGGGACAGCAGAATCACATTAATTTGTACAAAGTCATTTTAAAACTTGTATGGACATATGACATATCTACAATACTATTTTTTTTCTTTCTTGTTTAGTTTTTGATTCTTCGTTTTAACTTTTTATTTTTTTTATAAATAATATAAGAAAAGATTATACTTAGTATAAATTTTTTTTACCACTTCTTATTATTAATTTTATTATCAAATCAACGGTTACAAAATATCTTAAAATGAAGGTTATTGATTTAATTTTGATCTAACGGTAATAATATTGATTATAAGAGGTGGTAAGTGGTAACTATTACTTATTCCATAATCTAGTATCGGATTACCAACGAGGTCAATTCAAGTTTATATAAAATATTTATTTATTAAATGGAAACTCATAATTATAAATACCGAATTTAAACAAGTTGTAAATTACATGTCATTAAAACTACTTCTCGTAAAACTGTTAATCCGCAGTGATTAAAAACAAAAAATTTCTGGGCCGAACAACATTGTTAATTATTAGCATGTTGCCGCAGTCATAACGGTGTCGGAAGATGGCACTCTAAGGTCAGAAACAGAAACAACATTAGCAGTGGTTTTGTTATAGAGAAAGTGAGCCACGATCATAGCACTAGGCTCTGCCACTAGCTTCTTCCACGCTTCATTTGCTTCTTCAACACCATGCTTTCGGAACACAGGTGTTGCATCCAAGCGATGAATCTCCCATCTCTTCACATTCCTCAGCCTATGAATCTTCCCCAACTGTTTCCTAGCAAGCTTCCAAGTATTCAACTTCATTTCATTCATTGCTTCTTCCAGTAACATCTTTTTTTTCCCCTCATCTGCAAATGCTTCTTTCCTAAAATACTCATCAAATTCGGGAACACCAATGGCTTTTCTAATCCCTCGTGAGTAATCCCCGTTGGGATTGAAAAAGGGTCTCAGTTCATTCACCATTCCATTCTCAAACATTTGATCAACACGTTCTCCTACATAGGAATGAAGAACAGGCATTGACACGTCCACCCAGAGGCAACAAAAATCGTACCTTGATCGGAACTTGTAATCATCGTCGTCAATTAAGGCCTCAAGGTAGGAGTTGGAGCCTCCAACAATGATTGGAAGCTGTTCACGGCCAGTGATTGAGTCAATGGTTACTAATGACATGTCACAGAAATCATTGGCTGTGAACTCTGTGTTGGGGTTGTGGTTTCCTAGTAAATGGTGGGGTACCCCACGTTGTTCTTCCTTGGAGATTTTGTTTGTGATTATGTCAAGCCCTTCATAGACTTGAATTTTGTCAGAGTTGATGATTTCTGATGGAAAACATGTTGCTATGTCTATGGAGAGCCTTGACTTCCCTGTCCCTGTGGCTCCCATCACCAACACTACCTTCTCTTTTTGAATCTGCCTCCCATTCAATTTTTGGCCACTGCAAGGAACATTTATTAGGGGTTGTCTTAGTCTGCACATTAACATTGACATGGTCATGGTGATCTTATCAACCCAATTTCAAGAAAAAACAATAAAACCAATAAAGAGCAAGAAAATTTAGAACAAAATAGGATAATTAAAGTTGTGGGGAGAATTTTTGATTAGGAAGTGTAACACATCTTCAAAGCTCATAACACAAGAAATATAGTAGTAAATTGAGAATTGAGGAAAGGGTTTGTGGAATATTTATAGCGTAGGTAAGGGCGAAAGAGGTCAAAAGTGTCACTGTATGCTTCTCTGTTGATGAAAATATAAAGAAGTATAGGAATTATTAATTGTCAACTAGAAAGGAAGCTAGTGGGCTTGACAAATATTCTGCCAATGTTTACAAAGAAGCTCTTCAAGGTCTTGTTTATATATGAGAAAACAGTGGGCATATATGGTAGGTTCTATCTTTAGTGGGTTATATGGCAAAGAGCGCCAAATTGCATAAAGAATATTGATGTGATAAGGTACTCTTATTATTCCCTGATGTTTGTTTGTTTAGAATTTTGTCTGTGTGTGTGTATATGTTTTCCGCAAGGCACTATAGGTAGCATTTTATTATTAGAACAGCTTTTCCACTCAGCCTGTCTCACAATTAGATAGGTTAAAATATTATCTTGCTTTATATAATGAGAAATATTTGAATTTACACTTATCTCATATTTTAGATATCTCGTAATTAAAGGACATCATAAGATTATAAATTATCAGAAAATGAATCCGTGTGCTAGAAGGGATCAAATGTACGGCTAATTACATATGCAGTCTCCAACTGTTAAAAAAAAAATTCCCATCCATGATAGATTGATAGGTAACGAATTATAATTGATAAAATATATATTATATGTACTCGTACAAATAATAAGTATGAAGCAGGATAAGTTGATTTAACAGGAGGGTTGACTAAACAAGTTGGGATAGGATATGTTTATAAACTTTTTTTACAAGTTACACTAAGTATGACCAGTCATACTCTCTTGATTGAAGTATGACCGGTCACACTCTCTTAATTGAAGTATGACCGGTCATACTTAGTGTAGTTTGTAAGAGTTCGTAAACAAAAAATTTATAGATATAACCTACCCTAAATAAGTTAGTCTAACATTATAACAAAAATGTTTGAATTCCATTCATGCTGGATGGGACAACACTTCCTCCCTCCAAACATTTGTGTTGAAAAAAAAAAGTATCTTAACTATAGTGATTAGGGTGGAGGTAAGAATTTCCATCTTTTTTTCTTTTGGGAATTAGCCTGCTTGAATTTTCAATATATGATAAATAATCTCCTTGTAATTTCGTGTTTGGTAATTAATTTTCTTAACCTTTCAATATATGACAAATTATTCTTGTAGTTATTTGTGATAAACCTTTAGTTTATCTTGTTTTTATAGACTAAAATAATAAGAATTATCAAGTTAAATGAGTAAAAACTAAGATTTTGATATAAAATACATGAACTTTATGATTTATGAATTAAATAAAATATATTTGCTATTTTGAAGGGATTTGAAGATAAATGTAAACAAATATCAAGATTGGATAGGTGGAGATCAAAACTAGAAGATTTGAAGATCTTATCTAAAGAAAATCAAGATATCAAGTTGTTGAAGAGGGGCTTAAGCCTCCAATCTAAGGCTTAAGCTCCCTGAAATTCCAGAAATTCCAATCAAAGAGCAAAAAGCCACTGCTTGAGGAAGCTTAAGCCCCCAACTCAGGGTTTAAGCGCGAACCAAGAAGAAAATTCAGATTCGAAGAGCGCGCTTAAGCGTGCCACGTGAAAATTCCATGCATAAGCTAGGGGGCTTAAGCGCCCAAGTGGAGGCTTAAGCATCCCAGAAACCCAACTTAGGCCCATCTGAAATAACCATCTAGGGCACGGATTCTTGGCCTACAAAAACACATTTTGGGTCAGAATTAATCACTTTTTCATATTCCTAGAGAGTTCTTTGTACTTGGAGGCAGAGGGAACGCGGAGAAATCCACAGTTCATGTTTGTGAGCGGCGGAGACGGATCAAAATCAAGCTTGCACTGGAGATATTGAAGATTCACCAATCAATTATGGAGTTTGAGGAACCTTTTATATTTTCTTTCGTTCTTGATCTTGCTATGTCTGGCTAAATTCTTAAGTAGTTAGGGTTAGATGAAACTCAATTAATCTGTTATATTTTGAATAATTCTTGATGTTGATTTTCCTTATTATCATTAATGAAATTGTCTTTTCTTAATGCTTTCTGATTAGTGAATGAATTGTCATGCTGCTAGTATGTGTTGGCTAGTCAAATGTCTTGATTTTCATGATGTTGGCTGAGTATATTCCTTGTTAATCATAGATTACGTTGCACTCAATTCTTCCATAAATCCATGAGCATCTAGTTGAAGTGGATAACCATAGAATTGCATAGATTTCATATATGGACTGATTGATTGTGTAAATGGTTGTTGAATTGATTAATAACAAATTAGATGAAGCTCAGGCATGTCATTGACTAATATCATGAAACTGATTGAGTGTATGAGAGCTTTATCCATAATGTAGGTTATATTCTTGAATGTTCTGTTGAGAATAAAATGTGATACACATTTACATTGATAATCAAGAATTAAATCTGGGAATTGTTGACAAAAGATTTACATACAATGCATTGCTGGATATCATTGGTTACAATCATTATACTCCATAAGATAAATGCATTGGTATTTTTTTGGTTTTCAGGGAAAGCAGACAAAGAAGGGCACAAAGACCGGAACCAAGGGTACTACTATATCTGGTAGCAAGAGGCCAAGAGCCTCATCCAGTTATGGTGAAAACATTTTCCTCTCTACTGAGCACCAACAAAGGTATGAACAATGGTTCATGCCTAAGAAAGTGATACCAGAAAAGCAAATTGCTTTGGAAACTTTTGAGGAAGATAGTCCTATAATGTTTATGATCAAGAGGAAGAAGTGGGAAACATTGGCTACATTTTCCACTGCGAGCTCTAGCTCTATTCTGGAGGAATTCTGTGCCAATGTGGATAAAGAGAAAGTCAACACCAACCGAGTAAGTTGGGTGAGAGGAAAAGAAGTTCCATTTGCAGTTGAAGACATAAAGGCTTTCTTGAAAACCTCCTATAATAGACTTGAAGGTTGCAAGTTTAGAACAACCTACAACAAACTCCAACTCACAACCACAAGGAGTTTATACAGGGAAGATATGCCAGATATGGCAGAAAAAGTGAAGAGAGGGATTATTGGATTGTACTCTGCTTGGATAATAAAAGCAGGGTTGGATCATGTGCCTAAAAAGACAGAGAAGCATGACTTATCTGGTGAAGCTTTATTTTGGCATCAGTTCATTAATTCCTCAGTTATACCATCTACTAATCTTATATATGTGAATGTGGAGAGGGCCACACTACTTTATGTACTGATGAGTGACAAGAACCTTGATATATTTTAGATCTTGTCTGATAGGATCATACATGTCATCACAGCCGGCAGAGGCGACCACAGGCTGGCTCACTCCTCTCTGATAATGCACTTGTGCATTCAAGCAGGAGTTGAGATACCACCAGATGAGAATCTGGATATTAAGGTGGCTACCCGCATGACACATGATACATATTGTGATAAGCTTGTTGATGAATACAACAAGCAGATGATTAGAGCTATGGAGTTGTCACCATCTTCTCTCCTTACGAAGAGCCCGCGCTTGTGGCCTCATGCACCTTATGGTCCCCATCCCGAGCACATCCATCCCTCCGCTGCAACACCACAGGCTACACCATCAGCAGCACACCAGGCCACCACATCCACAGCACCTCAGAGACCAGCACCACCACAGCACCTTTATGCAAATTCCCCTGTTATTCTAACCATGCAAGGACAAATTCAGAACATGCAGGGACAGTTTGACCATTTGAGCATGCAGGGTGACTACTGGACACGCATGCTAGAGGGCATCTGTCAAGTCACTGGAGTGGATACGTCCGCTTTTCAGCCACACTTTCCACCACCACCAGCTCCTGAAGAGCCCATTGAGACCACAATCCCTACTAAGCCAGCAGCAGAGCCTACAGAGACACCACAGGCTGCAGGAGGGGATGACATGGACGAGTTGTGGCTTGATGACTGATCACCATTTATTTTTAGTTATGTTTTTAAAATTTCTGTTTTGTGTTGAGACAATTGAGATGTTATGATGTTTAGTTACCTGTTCAGTTATGTTAAATTAATGCTTTAATCAGTGTGAGTGTGTTTTAACTGCGCAGAAGTTCTTATTCTTCGACTAGTTTAGCTTTATTGCTGAGGACAATAATTTTCTAAATCTGGGAATTGGGCGCACCGCATATGATACAGAGGAACCACATTAATGTCTTTGATGTCTTTGATGAATTCATCTGACCAGAGTGATTGTTTTAGACTTGATGTATTGCAAAAACTTGTTGCGAAATCGGCAAGTGTACCGATCGTACGAAGTAATAAAATGATGAGTAGAGTATCGTCTCCACGAGGATTGAGGCACTGAATTTATTATAATTGTTCATCTCTTGTTGGATTAATAAAATTGGTTTAAGAACAATTGTGGTTTGTGAAAAATGAGAACAATTCAAGAAAGTGCAAATAATTCAAATAATCTTTTAAAACTCAAGAACAACAGATTAAAGGTTAAGAAAATAATTGAAAAGAGATCTTGCGATAAAGAGAAGCCAACACCTTAATGATCCCCACCTCGTAACCTAAATTAAAGTTTACATTCAATTATGCAATTGATCAAACGATTCAATATCTTTTATTTGATTGGTTAAGCCCTAATTTCTTAATGACTTTAACCTTATTAACTCTATTAAAATCCTAATCCCTTAGAATTTTTTTTTCAAGTTAAGCCCTTTAAATCAGTGAATCTTTCACGTTTGCGATTCATGTAGCCTATTTCTAGTGCATACATGAACAATTATTTTACCTTTTGTCAGGAACTAGAATCTCAATATCTTTATTGAAAACCCTAACCCTCGCAATCCTAATAGAGTGATCGGTTTTAGAAGAATTATGAGATGAAGAACAAGATAAAATAAATGCAATTGGAATAAATAAATATAAAATTTAACCAAACTACAAGGGGTTCACATCAAGGGTTGTAACCCTTACCACAATAATAAA